GGCTATCTTCGATTATTGATTATCGTTCCGCATTTTCCATAATCTTGAACTGAATCTTGGCAATTTTTCGTGACAACTTCACGACCATGATACATGAATTTCTTAAATTGAACTTTTTGAGCCAAACACGTACATATATGATAAAATGAATGTCATCATCGTGTTCTACGCCCCAAATTACCTATAAAACATGTGTCACAGGCTGCGAATATCAGTTTTGATTTTCGGGTATATGTGCCTACCCGGTTGACCTGACCTTGACCTTGACCTATGCTTGACTGACCCCTACATGGAGCTGACACTCTTGTAGGCCTTATATGATGGATTGTACACCGTTTTGACAGAGTTTATGGCGAGAGGCGCCCATTGCGAAGTCCTGAAGTCCATGCTACTGAAAGCCCGATTTCAGGTGTTTGACCTGACCTTGACCCGACCTGTGACCTCAAAATTCAACTTTAAAGTACTCATCTGAAGCGTCTCGTCGCGCTCTTTCGTTTGCCGCCTCGTGCGTTTCGCTGCGCCTATTGGTTCTCGAGTTATCGGCTGGGGGCGTTTAACGCCCCCCCCCCCCAGCAAACGGTGGGTGGCGAAATACCCCAGCAACTGCCGGGTTAATTTACTTTACACGAGTAGCCCAGTTCCAATGCAATGTTTGAAAGTGAATGAACGATCCTCAAACATTGTAGCACTAACGTTTTAATGATAAATTACAAGCACATCGACCTTCTAACGTTGTGAACGTTCACTATGACACGTTCTCTAGTCGTGCCAGCTGTGGCGTGCACGTTTCAATGGCGAGGAGCGACGCGCATGTTTGACCCATACCTCATGGAGTTACGCCTCGCTATTGTTCCCCCGGCCATGGCTACATCGATTTTCTCCGGTAATTGTTCGCACCAGGCGTGGTCAAATGCAGGCATATATCAAATTATTTGCACCGGCCACCTGCGCTAGCGGTGTGAGCCCGTTGCTTTCTTCAAGGCCGGTCCACCTAATCAATATGGGTGGTGGGCAGTGGGCAACCATGTTGGTAGAGTAGCAAAGCTATGAGTCATCGCGTTGAAAGGAGTTTAAAAGGTTTGATCACGAAACGGTTGTTTGAAGCTTCTGTATTCGGTAGGCTGGTGCCGACAAAGGAATGGGCACGGAATGGTCCAGAACATGTCGAAGGTTCGCGTGCCATGTGATGGGCCTGCAGCTGTTCGAGTCCTAATTCATTCATGTTGCTCTAAAATTGGCTATAAATGCGGGCGTCCCTGGTAAACATCACGGCTGACATTGTCGGATTAGGTACAAAGGAGGACGAGAATCAACCTAAGATCTATGTTTTTTTTTTTTGGCCTGACATACTTCTCGTCTCCAGTACAAGCTTTTTACTATGCATAATGCATATTGCATATCCACTTTTAGATAAAGTCAAAAGTCTGTCCGTATTAATAGTAGTCCGTGCCATAGTATTTTATACAGCATAGCTGCCTAACTTTCTTTGCTCGGTGCTTCTTTTCCTATAAATACGTCTGGCAGTTATAACGTGACATCGACGGCACATATTGTGACCTTTCCACGCCTCTAACGTTTCTTATTGATCTCAAGTCCATTACGGCAACAAGAAGCTACGCGGTCATGTGTCGTAGATCTACCATGTACAGGTCTCGCGGGTTTTAGCGGTAGGTTTTGCACCTAGAAAATTTAGTATACTTCAGGCTATATCTTCGTCGTCTTAAGCTTTAAGTGTTGAAGATGCGATCGACTTGTTGGTTCACAAGCCGGCCATGATCGTGTAAAATGGCTTCATCGTAGATCGATTAGTTTCTGAGATATAACCGGAAATGTACAAGTGCAAAACCTACCGCTTAATCTCGCGAGAGCCGCGTACTTTGTCATGGTCGTAGTTTTTTTCCTTTGGCCTGCAATCCTTTGGCCTGCAAACCAATCGAACCTCGGTGCGTTGGACAGACGTTGACAAAAAGGTAACATCACGCTCCAAATCGCCGTCTATTGTGATGATAAGACTTCGTTACCCGTGCGGTATGCCCGACCGATAATGCCTCGTTGGATCTCCGCCCCTCGCTGTGGTACCTTGTTAGATCTCAGTGCTAACTAGGTCCCTTGAGAGGTTGCATGGTCCGTTGGAAGGTTTTGTGAGTGCGGGTCGCTTCGTTATGCTTCTCTAATAAGCCATTTACAAGTCGTGTGGTCGTGATTTGGTGGACCACGGTCTGCATCTGAAATGGTGAGGTAGGATTGTTAGTTGCATTTAGTGAGGCTGGGAGAATCACATTCTATCTGGTTAACAGCATGAGCCACATTCTTACATTCCCAATGCCCAATGAATCCCTCATTCATTCTTTGACATGTATTATATGGTTTACGTCGTCTTACTTCGTGGGAAGCTTATAGCTCAGTTGTTTTATAAACGCAACTTCCAAAATAACTTCTATCTCGCATTTTCAGAACTCTGGCAAAAGTGCTATAATATAGCTCTCTCGAAAGAACGGGTCCGCGCTTTGTTTCTCTGTTCCGTTTACGCCGCCCAAAGTGCTCCTGTCTGGCCCCGTGTGGTTCTCGTCCATCCTGCCCCGGGGCGACGCGGAGTGACCTCTGACCCGGCCCGCTGACCCCAGTGACCTGTGTGATCCCTGGTGAACCGGCGCCCGGCCGCGGCTCGTCACTCCATCTTACTTTCCTTTCCCGAGCGGCGAGTGACCCCGATTGAACTAAACTCTAAAGTGTGTCCAGCTTCGGTTGTTGTGAACCGCCCCACTCTGGCCAATATGGCAGCTCTGAGTTGTGGTAGCGGACGATATGGCAGCGCTGAGTTGTGTCGGTTGCACGATATTGCGGCACTGGAGTGGTGGCAACGGCATTGATTTAGCCATCGACATTCCGCTGCTTTGGTCCGCGTCGTTTGAAGGTCGGGTGATTTATATGGTCGCATTTGGTACAGTGCGTTGGCTTTGCTGTATGGTCTACACTCATGCAAACGGTAGCCGGTAGGGTAGGTGGCCGAAGGTTTTTAAAGTTTTACTGCCTGTTACAAAGGCCTACTTCTTGGCGTTGGTATGGTGAAGCGTCTAAAGGAACCATTACACCACGAAACGAAATGAAGAAATGCTCAAACGTACTCGGTTTTATCGATCCTGACCTACTACAATTTCTTCTACCAAATCCTGTGCCAGATATGACTTCTCGAATGGCGCTTCTCCCTCCCCAGCCCCAGCTTGGAATGAAAACAGCAAAGAGGCTAAAATGTTCCGCACAAGCCCCTACCGAGTAGTAAAGTAATCTTGCCCCTACCTACGACCCCAGCCTCCGCAGTCCCTCGGTGATGTAGGTGGCGCGCGCATCGCAGGGACAGAATTCACCAATAGAGGTCACTAGTGTGGCCTGGCAGGGCCGGCCGGCGAGCGGGCTCCGACAGACCTGAGATTGGGTGTATTATCTGGGCAGGGACTGGTCCCCGACTCCCCCACTCCCATGGGATAAATCTCAGCGCCGCCGTCTCCCCTTGGTTTGCGTTGGGTGATTGATTGTGTGGTAGTGTCCCAGGCTTGTATGAGACTGGGGCCTGCCTGCTTGGGTACTTTGCTGGGAAACGCTGTTTGGAAATCACTTATATAGTTTGGTGTGGGCTTACTGCTTTGGCGGGTTTGATGTGGTCATCCGCCTTCGCTCTTTCTGCTACGGACGCCTTTCTCTCATCGTAAGGACGGTCATCTCTTTTCACAGACATGTTTGCGTAGGATTTGGCCCTAAATATCCTACTGCCCTTCAAGTGACAGACTTCATCATCCCAGCGTGTGCATTGTCTATATGCACGTGCACGTTGCACACCTTGCATTGACTGCACATATGCCCGCCGTATGTACACGGTCCACATACTATTGTGCTTCTCCTGTCCCCGAGTTTCATTGATTCTTCCCCCTCGCCTTCCTTTGGCGTTCTCCCTCGCCCGCCGGCGCGCCGTGGGACCTTGATGTGTGGTACCTACGAACCACTTGAGCTGCAGAAACTGTATATTGCATTGGCACGGAAGAGTTAGGTGTTGTGTGTGCACTGTGTGCACTGTGAGTGGTGCACTCTCGTTGGTGCACACAGTGTGACGTTTGCTCTGGTGCACGCTGCACTGCACAGAGCACAAAGGACATCCTATGCCCAGTCTGACGTCTACACAAATATCAGCACACGGCGGCGGATCATTTCAGCAGGGATGGACGGAGTGCCGTCGCCGCTTTGTCATCCGTCGAGCGGACGTAAAGCTGTCAAACGGCCTCCCCTCCCCGCCATAACCCGAGGCGGGTCGGTCGGGTCACTGTGATGGGGCTGGCTGTCGGTGATTTATGGTCGTGAGAACTGGAAGGATGAGATGACACGGCGAAATGAACGTGACTTTCCTCCAAGATGGCCCCCTAGAGTTCTTAGCTGAAGGTATGAGTTGGGCGTTTGTACAACCGTCCTTGAACTTTACATGAACAAGACACGACTTGAAACGCTTAGCAAAGCTTCAGCATTCTTGAGTGGGTGCGCTATTCTTAGCCATTATTTTTATTGTTCAGGTTTGATGCTATAAAACCCGATTGAAATATTTCATGAATATCCAGAATTCGGGTTTATGAATCAATCATTTAGAAGGCAAGGATAAATCAATTTTTCTGATATCATTCGACGACTTTTAACTCTGGAATACCGGCACGGATATCCATTATCCAATCCGATTATCCTACAAGCACAATCAATCCAATTCCTCTCGACTCAGCTAGGACCGGTTTTGTAAAAATACACAGATAGGCGGGATAGCTGTGTGGCTTTTGCGGTGGCTTTTGTGGCGTGACTCGTGTGGGTTAACTCGTTCGCTGCCTTGTTGTGTGCCCGGGGTGTGTTGTGTGTTTGTTGTTTGCCCTACCGCGCGTTATGTGCGTGTTGTGGAGTGTTCTGGCTGTCTCGCCTGCTCTAGCACCTGCTCGCCCCGGTTTTCGCACTCGGTCTGTTCCTCTCGCCAGATGTGAGTTGGATGCGGAGGGCGTGAGCCAGGCCACCGCCGCCGCCGTTGCCATGGAAACGACGCCGGCCAACAACAACAACCTGGCCAACCAGGAGGAGCTGAAGCTGCTCGCCCGGCTGGAGGCGGCCAACAGGTGAGGCGGCAGGTCCTGATTCCCGTCCTCCTGCACTCTGCTGCTGCTGATCTCGCTTTGGTAATATCAGGCTGGAGCGTTGTGGGGTGTTTACTGTTTAGGTCCTTTCGAGCCAAACAGCTGAAACTGGCCGTAAACTTTTCCAGAATTCAAATCCGTATGACCATCTTCTTTCAATAAACTTACAAAGCACCGAAGGTCTTTCTCGCTTTTCAATGGCTGTTTTCGGGTTCAAATTTATCGTATCCTCTGCTTTGCGTTCATAATTTGTTTCGGGGAATTCTGCGAGCACAAACAGCTTCAGTCGGTGATGAGATTTACGTGTGCTAAGGCTTAAACTGGTTATTCGTGGGTTTTTGCATAAAGAACACACTGCCCGCGCCAGTGCAGTGCAGTGGTTGACGCTGTGCCATGCGGTGCAGTATAACTTCAGGCGTCTACTGCTAGTGTCATCTAGCGGCAAAAGTATAAACTGTCCACGGTGGGACAGGAAAACGGAATTTAATGGCTTTGCGGTCTTCTCAGCAAGCCATTCTTCCTCAACTACGCTAATAAAAGCATTTCAAAGTATAGATTAACTACACAGTCCGCTTCCTTTGCTTCACTCGTGTTTTTGTTGCTGCATAGTGCATATGCATCGTTCTGCTTGTGTGTTTGCGTGCATTTGTGCCACATGCTGCTTAGTGCTTTGAGGCACGCTTGGAGAATTTTGCGCTGGGATAGGATGTAGCAAATCTTCGTCTATATAGAGCAAATCCCACGCGGGAGGCGAGTTTTGAAATTCTCTCGGCGCTTTCCGGTGCTCATTTGTTCACCAAACGTGATTCTGATACGGATGGGGACTTTAGGGGCGCCGGGTATCCCTGGGGCGAGATCAAACGTGGAGCTCGGGAACCGTCCGTGATAGGTCGAAATCGGGATGAGTGGGAATAATAATGAGAAGGAATGCTTGAAAATGGAATTGAGATATTCTACTTTATGCGCCATTTATTGACGTGCAATGTCTCAGCAACGTCGGTTATGGATTTTAGCATTCAGGTATGTCACCTCTTCTTCATTGACATTGGAGTAAGGGCTGAACAGTGAACATCGGTAAGACGAAGTATCAGCTTTCCCCGATATAAAATGCTTATCTTTGTCACCGCTTATGTATGGAGTACCGATTTTTATAACTGAAAGTTTTCCAGCTAAATAGCAAAACTTAGAACTTGTCCACTCTACAATACTTTAACTGGCAAGTTGACACGTCAGTTTGGCTGAGCTTTCAGCGTAAATCGTTGTACTTGCAGACTGGCAAAGTTAGGCACTGCCTTAATTGGGATAAGTAACGTTTTATTTTACACTCACCTGTATTATATGTAGACATTCGATGTATTACGTGAATCCGGCATCGTGAAACGCTAAGTTCATAGCCACCGCTGTATTTGTGCCTCCATGTATGTTTCGAAACAAGGCGAGTTTAACGGATGCTGAGGAAGATATTTGTTTTTGTTTGCCTTTTCAGCGAAATATACATTCACATATATTCGACAACTTTCCCCACCATTGCTACAACATCTGACAAAATCACTGCTTTTGTTGACAGCATCAATTCTGCTCCAATATGTCTATTCGCTAATGTAGAAGAGCTGTCGACACTTCGAGACTTATCCCAAACATATAAAATATTGACTCACAAAGTGGCGCTCCTCTTTAAGTTTCCTTTTCGGAATTTATCTGCAAATATTCTCAGCCCCCGGATATATTTATCTGACCTTAGCGGAACAAGCTTGACACAACATTCTATATACGTTTGCTCTGACCCAACTTTGGCTCTGGTGGACGCCGCTGATGTGATTTGTGCCGACGATTCTCGTCACTTGTCGTTTCGGTGCTCTTTCCATCGTCTCCAACTTTGTTACCACCACCCTGTCGGGATGAGAGAAAGAGTTACGACGAGTTACGGCAAGTTATGGGGAGTTATGGGGAGTTACTGTGATCGACGGGGCCGGCTGACAATGTGTTTAGAGAGTTTATGGGCTATGGCCCAGAAGGGACGTCAGGTCTCGGCGACCTAGGTTGGTGCGAGACATAAGGAATCGCGAGCGATAGAAGACAAACATACCGTTATCCTAAGTGGGCCGTAACAGTCATTTTATGAGCGACGTGGTTCCGTTTTTTGTCATATGTTTATCGTTGGGGTCAAAAAGTTTCGGACAGGAAATTCAACACATGGTTAGGCACTGAATAATTACAACCTTCCTCTCATTTTCTCCTTGTCAAAGCATGTACCGTTGAACTAGTAGTTGAACAAATTACCCATCAACTCAACCCTCTACGTAGCATTTTTGATCCGATCCAATTGTTTCTCCTAATTGAACTTTTCATCATCTCATTTCTTCCGTCGCCCGTTTCTCCACCCACCCCGCCCCTTCCCACCCAGCGCTTCCGCCTTTGATCTCAGTCGCCGCTCATTCTAAGCACGTGCCACTCAGTGTGGCGCTCCTCCGTCGGCGCCGATAACGAACCGAGCTCCTCTCGTCGTTACCGACGCTGTGTCGGCGTCTGGATCCGACGCCGTCGGCGGCGACGGCAGACGGAACCGGTCGATGATCGGACGGGTGTCGAACCTCGCTGCTAACGACGATAGCAGGGAAGGAATCAATGACATTTAATTCGTCACTATAGGGAAGTAGGTATTCTTCGCATCATTTAGCACAAATCGACACAATTTAGCTCTGCTTATTTGATTTTTGGCAAATATTTTGAATATGCGTCTGTTTATGCTGTGTCAAATTTTCATAATTAGCTTCCGGGTCGCCTCCTGTTGTGACATTTCGTTGCCCTAATTCAGGATTTAGTGGCGCAATATGGCTGTTTTCGTCCACCGGGCAGTCTGTTGGGTGGAGATAACGGGTTATTGCCCCCGTGGCCCTGGACCGAGATCATATAAACCGTAGGGGAAGTTGGGGGAACGCCGAATACTTTTTTTCTGACGCCCGTAGCACGCAAGGTAGACAACATAAGCTATTCTTGTTGGCGTCATTCGAGAGGCCAGTCTTTTCCCTTTCAAACATACCAGGCGCATTTGATGAATTCGCATACCGTTAAGCGCACAAACTAAAAATATCAAAGAAGTGACTTTTTCGGCGTTGCCCCGGACTGCGGGGAAAGCCGAAAATGGGAGAAATGATCTACGGGGAATGCCGACATTGATGTTTTGCCACTTTATCTCAAACTTTATCCAGAATCTATCAAAGCTGACACGCGTTTTAAGAGCTTGAGGACGCTTGGTGCACACTGGAAGTTATAGTTGTGTGATATAATAAGAAAATGCCAGGTAAATAATTCCTTATAGGTAACAGGCCGTTGTGTCGGTTGAAAGTGTAATTTG